TTACCCTTCCAAACCGGAACGCAGTAATGCTAAATACATTACTGCGTTCGGGGGCGGCTGAAACAGGTGAGGTGGAAGTGAAGTCTTTCATAAGGAGGTCTACTTACTACCTATGATCGAATTGCAAGAAAACTAAATATTCACTTCTTTTCCTTCGTACAATACAGTTGGTTGTTGGTTAGAATAGATACATTTACGATAATATACGTAAAAATAACAAAACCTTATCATTTTTTGGATAGGAGTGGAAATGTGAGCTTCCTTTATAGCTATGTTCATACTGTTAGGCTCTGTTTATATTGTGGCGGAACCGAATGGAAGCGAATGTTTCCCGCGAAATTCCGCAGAAGATTTCGGCTCGTATCTAGTTTGAACGCTACACAATTGACCATAAAATTCATTATGCTATGTACAATATCGTTACAAAAATTCGTTTCCATTCCGTTCCGCCGCATTATAAATTGAGCCTTAAAATGTGTTCATAGAATAACTAAAACGATAATAATTTTCTTATCGTGAAATCTCTAAGCAACCCTAAAAACGACGTATAAAACTAGTACACGTATTAAAACGCTCTTAATTAAAAATCGATTGCAAAATCTAGACCGTACTAAAAAGAGTCCCAGGTTCGATTCTCAGAAGACGTCGAAACAATTCGACGGCTAAAAAGCAATTAAATCGTAATTAAGGGCCGTATTAAGAGCCGGCATGCGCCCGCGCATTGCAGCTCTTGTTTCGTCACTAGTAATGTTACGAAGTCGATGAACTTAATATCGATAAAAATATTTCGTCCATCTTGAAATGTAATAACATTGTCATGGCTTATTAAATAATTTGTAGAACATTGATTATTGCATGAAGGACCATTTTATTATTTTACGATATCAAGTGACGGGACAAACAAGTCGTGTGTCGTAAGTGACATGCCTGTCCATAATAGTTGCAGTTTCGCTGCGCTCTCGTCACCATGAGACATAAGTTGAAGTCCCAAGTGCCTGTAAATTCACCAGCGCCCTTACCCTTCAAAACCGTAACGCTCACATTACTACTTGGCAGCAGAAATAAGTACTGTGGCAGTACTTCTCTACACGAATTCTTTTACAAAGAACTGTACTACTACTAACACAACCAGACTATTGTTTTATTTTATTGTATTTTAAATATTATTAAAATCTTGCTAAGATTGTTTATTTAGTAGGAAATATATTAAAATGTAGAGAGAGGTATAGAGAGGGTAATACATCCGCATTCATTAGAAAACAGTTCCCAACATTTCTATCCTGTATCGCACGAAGTCCATAGATTTTTCCAAGAAGCCATCAATGAAAGTGGCAAATTGCAGTTTAAATTAGTCTCTATTACTGGTAACTATAGTCTCGTGTTGAAAAGTATATCATTATTTTAAAGAGATCTCCATTTTACCGTTTTACTACTTATTTCTTTATTAGACCCATCGGCGCCTTCTACGATTACAGCAATTTCCTGTGATTTTTTTAATTTAAAGCAAATTACTGTGCGAAGAATTTAACCGGCTTGTTCGTATATTTTTGTAAAATATTTTTAATTTGCAGGTATGTCAGCTGGTAAATAAGAACAATACAATCTTCTTTTTTTTTTATTAAATACTATAATATAATATGAATCATGGACGTCACAATTCAGAAACAACCGTTTGCCCAATACTGCCACTGCATAAGTTACTGAACTATATTTTATTCGTTATCATTTAAAAGTACGAAAGTTCCTTGGCATATAAGTCATTGCGACTCAGATTGTGTTGTAGGTATTACCCCTAACAATGACAACTCATGGCTTAGGCCAATTATTCTAATGATGCCCTTAAGGGTTTGAGTTTTCACGTCTTATATTGAAACAAGAACTGAAATTTTATGGAACTATATTTCTTGACCCCAATAGCGTCTTTAAGTTGTGGATGGAGCTTTGAGTGCGCCAGGATAAGTTGATTATTATACATTTGAATTGACTAAATGAACGTTGATGTCAAAGGTTACTATTAGTGCTTTCATTTCTGTGTCCATATGTTGTCTATCATCTTGTGTATGGTACAAATATCGAAAAAGTATGACATTTCTACTCTAAGTTTAAGGATTACGTAAAAGTTTGATCGTTCACCGATCTCCAATTACAGCGATAAAAACAAAAACATACCATTAATCCAACGCATTCAAAAATCACAATTCGATTTTTGAATAGCCGATAAAACCCGACTCCTGCGCCGACCGCCAATTTCCCGTACATAAACATCGTAAATCTCGTTCAATGAATGAATCGATATAAACCGAATCGATATGTCGATATCGGGGTTTAAGTACCGATTATTTGACATGCGTAGGTTTGTTCAAGTGTTCAAGAAGTTTGTTGTTAAAGTGCTCTCAATACGTGATAATGAACGATCTCGCTACTTTTGGTGTAAGAACTAGTATAAATTTCTTGAAAATTGTAAAAAAAGGTCAATTTCCAAAGTATAATATTTTCCAGTTTCAGCTATTGTCTAAATGTATGGGTAATTTTTCAACATTCATACAAGTATTTTTAAGTGAATGATCGATATCGATTAATTACATCGATTACACGGCCCGCGCCCTCGTTGCAGGACGGCGATCGGTCACGTCCGAAACAATCACATCTTTATTAATTACGAAAGAATTTTTTATGGCATCCCTTTTAAATTTGGTGGTGTAAATGAAGAGCGTGAAGCGTGACCTGTTTCTTTTTTCGGTTTTAATATTAATATTTAGTTACAGCTCTATATCATTACGAAAGTTTTGGTTAAAAAAAACTTATTTTAAAACAGTTTTTGTATTTCTTAACAAATACTGATCGGCTATTTGTCTTTTTTTGCATGTTTCGATACCGATGTCTACTCTCCTTTGTAACGATTACTTGATTAAAACGACTAAATCACGTTCAATCTTAATCGTTTTCGGATAGGTTTCGGATTTTTTATATATATTTGCTATAGTTGCGCCATTATTGTCCCTTATTGCGTTCAAAGTTTCTTCGCATAAAGTGTTGCTAGCAAGCAATTCTAAAATGGATTGGATTTATCCATTGGGGCTATAAATCAATGTCGTTGAGGCCTTTGCAACTGCAGCCTGCAAACGAACTAGCTTGCGAGTCAGAACTACTTCATTATGTCGGAATTTGACATGGTCCGTGCTAGCATCTTGAGCAGGCTCTTTCAACAAGACTATTCTAATGAACGGGTTATGTTTTGTGCAATGGGTTGCTTCTTCGCCGATATGTTCTTTTTGGTGAGAAACTAGATATTTAATTTTATTTCCTGTTTTGTCACTTTTATCAATGCTTTTCGGTCTTTATACAGTCTGTAAAAGACAATGAAGAATTTTGTTTAAAACTACAACAAAACACATTGAAACCATATCTCAAGGCTCCGTTTAATGATAAATATGATTTAGCTTTTCCGTAAGGTCGAATAAAAAAAAAACCGTCGCAAAATTCTGTTTCAATTTCAAGATTTCAGTTTGAAGTTTTAATTCTCTTCACTCGTTCCAGACATGTCTTCCCCGTATGTGATAATGACCCCAACAAACTCGTCTCTCAATTTGTCGCGATATTTTGCCAAAATATTCCAACTTGCTCAGATTCGTTTGTAATTGCAATTTCCCATGTCTATATTACGTATTATGAGAATCTTGCACATATAATAAAATTTTAACTAAAAGGGTCGTATTATCTGACGGTTTCTTTTGATAACTTTGTTGTGGTATGTGTTTATTATTGTTTTACTTATTCTTATTTATTCGTAATTACGTTGTTTAATGATAACATTGTTGTTGGTACGAAATTATGTTTAAAAATTATAACTAAACATACTAATAAAGTTAGTCCAGTATTCTCCAAATGAAATGTGTTTATGAACAATAGATTCAGATTATGCCCTTGTAGAACTCCCATAGATAACTCCCGTTAAGAATATAAAAAATATAGCCAGAACATTTCCAAGTTTAAGAAACAAAACTGTTAGTAGTAATGGCGTATGAGATATGATGATGAGGTCATTTTATGTGATTCTAGTTGACTCCTCGAAGGCAATAGCGTGGGAGCTTCATACTTAGAAGTGGCCCTAGAGCCCTAATGACGTGCAGCATTAGTAAATGTAAAAGCCTGATAAAGTTGTGATAGAAAATGCTTTATTGAGGTTGTGTAAGAATGTGCCAGGACACAAATTTCAACTAATTAAAGTTTTCTTTGATGTATTTATAAAGACAATATGCATATAACAGATATGACTGATATTTTGACATTAAAATTATTTTAACGCTATTACAATAAATTTAATCTTTTTTCTGTAAAGTAACTAGAGGATTGTGACAAGCACAGAACAATAAATACAGTAGAAGTGCTTAGTTTGTGTGACAAATATACCACCAGTTCGCGGAGTTCCGCAAACTTGAGCTCAGTCGGTCATTTTCGTTTTGTAGTTATAGTCGTGTCGATTGTCTCGCGCAAAACCTTACCTTACCTCGTAATCAAAACGTCGTAACTTACATTAAGAAGGTATTGATGGTATTAAACTTTACCCTGTTGGCATGTCGTTTAAAGCTTAAACTATATTCACAATCCCGAATTTGTTATTTTCTTTTTAAATTTGAAACTACGAGCAATCATTACCAAGAATTAATAGTATTTCAAATTATGATTAAGTGAGGCTCTTCCAATGTTTTTTTCTTCCGTGGTGACATCTACAGTAAAAAAAATCAGTATAACAATTTTCTCATAGCAAAAAAAAATAGAATAAACAAAATATTTTAATCTAGAGGAAAAGCGCAGGGTATGATGATATATCTCACTCACTCGTAAAATGAAGACATAATAGAGGCAATTGTAGTAACAACAGACCTACACGCAAACTTAGCACAGACGATTAACTTTTTGTTAAACTGCGTACGCACACTCTAATTTAGTAATTACTAAGCGGCTACTGGACTTTAATAAGGAAATTTTTATTGTTACAGGTATAAAAACTAAGATGCGAGAAGAAACAGAAAAGTTTGAAATTAATACAACCAGCGATGCATGTAGTGTTAATTAACAAAATGAGGATGAAGAAGAAAACGTTTTTAATAAGATTAGAATTGACTTGATACATAAAATTGGTGCAGAAGATATTGTGAATGAACTTTCGAGTGTACTATACATAAAGTTCTTAAGTGACAAGAAAGTTGTAGAACAGAAATATGATGCAGTTAGTCATGTCAAAGTGATAAAAAGAGTGAAAAGACTGGATGTGACAGTGACAGAGGATGCTAGACAGTGAATAATGCCGGATAGAGATTCGGTGGGTGCTGGGACCGCAGGCAGTGGTGGTTTCTTGCCTCTTCAATTCCCGTCGGCGTTCGCTGCGTTTCATGCGTCCACTCCCCCTGGCGCGCCTGCGACCGCCATGCATCACGCCACGCATTATCATCATCATGCTCAGTAAGTGATTACCTATTTAATATTAACGCGACTATTGACGAACAAGGAATGCATATGCTATGCGACGGTAAACTACTACAATATTAATTCGACAGCTATAACTCTCTGATTCTCCTGGTGACTCACCTTATTTTAATTTTATCGTGAACTTTACCTATCAATCATTTCATCATTACTGGTTTTAGAAGGTTTTTTTACGTTAGCAATTATTATTTATTAGCCTTCATATTGAGCCAATACGACTGCAATATCGTAATGTTATTTTTAAACTTTTAATGATATGGCGCAAATAAACTTATCGTTCGACAATTTAAAAGTTAACTTCTTTTTTCTTAATTTCTTCGCCATTTGAAACTTAACTTTGCGTGTTCTTAATATTTAAAAGAAGTCAAAATTAATATCATTCAACCAATTATAATTTTACAGTCGTCGTAAAAACTTTCATAATAATATTTTTCCTTTTTACAACATGCCTTATCATAATCTAATGGGGTACAAAGTAAAAGCCATAATCACATATCGTACGAATGTATGTACATAATGTATATACGTAATTTTATGCCGATTCTCTGGCTTAGCAAGTGTCCTTTACAGTTAAGTTGCCACGATCGGAAACATCAGCTCATTTATTGGCCTGGCCCATAAAACAGAGTGGTTCATTTAGCTCACAACCTTTTTGTTGCATAATTATGCGCTCGTCTTTTTGTTAAACAACATTTTAATACGCTTACTATGTACATGTCTATGGACTACATGTTTTCGATTACGGTTTTGATGTCGGTAATAAACTTCACATTACCCACTTGATGCACTTTGCAAAAATGCGCTTTTATGGCTTATATTTCCAATTTGCTACGTTTTTATAATTTATTTACTACTTCTATCAATATATATGTTATCAATGTGGTCCTCTTTAATGTGTGTCGTTATACCTTGAATCTTATTAATGCATTAGAGAAATTTTGTTTAAATTAAATTCCACATATCTTCCACCTGCCGTAATCAACTATTCAACCATGTGTTTTGACCAAAGTGTTTCTGACACTTTTGAAACAGAGCGTTTCTTAATTGTTGTTATAAAGCACTTTATACCGAAGCAGGTAGAAATTCAAGATTAGATTAGAGTCGGCGTATTAACCGTGGTTTACGGCCGAGGGCCCATAAACTGTCCAGCCACGACAAGGTGTTACTTAATGATAATTTATTGCATGACTTCGGACACGTAAGTCGGCCGATTTGACGACAACATTAATCATCAGTAACTATCCGCAATAAAAACAAAAAAGGGTCGAAGAGCGGCCGAATTGGAATCAATGGGACTGACAAATGATGAGCAGGAAGTCATCAAGGGAATTGAGACGCTTACAATATAAGGACGTTAATAAAAGCAGGACTCAACAAATGGGCTGTTCGCTGCACTCAAAGCTACGTGAAATATGGACGAGACCGCGGCCGCGCCGGACCACTGCAATGATTAATGCGCGTGCGCCTCGAGCTGCGAGCGCCTCACGAGTATCTCGTGAAATTAAAATTTTGAAACGCCAATTCACTAAACAGTTCGAGTTCGACTGATGAATGTGACGTTTGAATTGACTCAACCTGTTCCCTCACACTTGCTATATTTTGCCTTCAATATTGAGAGTGGTCGCGTCAAAAAACTTTTTGTTTATAAAAATAAACCTGTATAGAGATGGGTTTTTTAAATAACGACAAGAGATGTATATGTCGAACTCAAGGTTCAATTTATTTCGTCGTCTTACCTACTGAGTGCTTTTCACCGCTTATTTATATCGATTGCATAACTCATTATGTATATAAAGCTGCAACATGAAATTGGTATAGAGACGTTAACTTTCTCGGAAGTCCAGTAATCCTTTATCCACGGCGGGTTCGGCCGGATGCCGGGCCGGGGCTTGCCCATTAACGACAGTTTCTCGGTGGCTCATTTAACCCGCTGCTGCGATAATTGCCACCACGTGTTATTTCCAAGCTGTCTAATTATAGCTCACACAATGGGTTGGACACGATCAGTTATTTTGGCTCCGGTCGCCTCGTCAAAGTCGATTTTGTCCAGCCACAAAGGAGGTGTTGCGAGTCGCCTGTCGTTTGTTTCATTAAGTCAAAGTCTTTGAACTGATGGATCGTGTGCCACTTCAACTATTAATTCTACTTCAACGTTTTTAGCTTCGCTTTGATAGCTTTTACTCCCGCCATTTGCATCGTTGTTTCGATTGCTTTCTTGTCTTGTTACATTTCACCTTTTGTCTTTAAGCTCATTCATCGGTATGGAGTTGTCGGCGTGATATTTCTTGAATGTCTTGTTCAAATATGATTCCTTTTACGCAAAATGTGTCGTTCCATCACAATGGGGGGCTACTATCGTTGGTTTCAAATAGCGATGTATATTTTAAGGCAGTTTCTCGGCAATCTCGTTTGAATGGTCGGTTCACAAGAAAAGCTTTCATCTAACACATGTCTGCGAACAAAAGCTGTGGAGTGCCATTCTCTCGCCCGCATCCTACGACCCATTGTGGCCACGTCCTGTCTTCACAAATCATCGAGACAAGAAAAAACCTATCATTATTGATGTAAAGACAAAGCATTATCAGCTCATGATTGCTCGATGTGTGTGGCTTAGACAGGGACGTAGTTTTGGCCCTAAATTAGTGTTCATGTTTTTGGTTAACATATTTTTGACGTTTTTAACTCCCAAATGAAAGTAACCTTTAAAACTTTAACCATAATAAAATAGACTAAATATTAAACAATTAGACAGTCCAATTTTGAAAAGGCTAGATTTGCAGATAAAGAAAAATCATTTAGCTTAAGCTGGTCTCTTCAAGGTCCCAAAACATCAAACACGAAATACTCTCGATCCGTCCCATGCCTCTATTGTTTACGATGAAACTCGAGGTGTCCAGGCCAATTAGGTATAATGTTTTTATCATTTATTAAATCTACTCCGGGAATGGTGTCCGCCTTTGTTATCTTCACATCGATAATTTCGATTCTTTTCTGTTTATTGATGGAGTTGATTGTTTTTCCTTTTATATCTTTTTTCAAATGTAATGTCTCTATTATTAACAACCTAACATAGCAGCGAAATAAAAATTACACTGTTTCATAATGTTTCCTTTATTTCATTCGTTTTATATAATCATATACTGCCACGGCATCTACAAGACTACGTTTACCTGTCACGAAATTTTTTTACACAAGAGTCGTCCAATACAGTTTAATCCAATTTTAAATAAGTATAATGAAACTACCCGCACTGTCAAGCGGATGTTGGGAATGACCAATTTATGACCGGAATTCTTTTATGGGACGGTTTTGACCGATTGCGTTCTTTTTTTTTAGCTTCTGTTGGTAGTTTGAGGATCCAATGTGTTAAGGTATTGATCGGCCCAGGAAAAAAAAAATTACACCCTTATTTTTTATCGAATGTTAAAAAGCATTCCTGTGACGTTTTATTGCTACGAGAAATAACAATTATATGGTGAGCACGGTAAGCAATTTTAGAGTTTTATTTACAAGTTTGACAAAATTTGTCAGGGTAGTGAATTTATATGTGCGTAGTAGGTATTTTCCTTCGTGTATTTAAAACAAAACATGATTAAGTTGTTTTTAAGTTCTGTTCTTCTGCCCTTCTCTTTTATTTGACTGCCTCTGTAGCTGAACGGGTACCATGTTGGTCTGCCACGCAGAGGTCCCGGGTTCGATGCCCGGGCCGAGTGACCTTCGACAAAGGATTACCCTAGTGCGTGGCTATTTATTCTTTTATATGGTCACTGAATGCTGTTCTCGGTATTTTTCTTCTTCCCTTTTTCTATCTTTCCCTAAATCGAATCTCTCCCCTTCTGTTTTGTAATGCTTTTAAAAGATTCCTGTCTATTGGATATTTAGCTATTTTTTGTTGTCCAGATCGCGTATATTTGTTTTTTTTTCCAAATAAACCAACGTTTTGAGCTCTCACATTCATGTAAGTTTCATTTCTAATCCGTGGTTTATTAGGATGGTTTATATGTCTCAGCCACAATAAATATTTCATTTACAGACATGCATTTTTCTAAAAACAATAATCAAAATATGTGGTTTGTATACATCTTATGAATATAATATACATAATAGCAAAACGAGCGCTGTTCATCTCTATTTGTATATTCGTTTAAACGAACACGAGTTAATAAATCAATCAATGAGACGTGCTAAACTCATACTGTTACCAAGAATAATAATATGACAGACGACCCTTTCGAGCTCTAAATAACGTCTATACGTGAGGAAACAAATGTGGCCTAGAATATCATACTAGAGCTGGGACTGCAGGAGCTTTTTGAATTGGTGTCAAACATTTTGGAAGGTGACAATTTTTATTTAAAGCTACTCAATTCACGGGTAAAGGTATGATAGTTTTTTGAGCTCAATGAAAGTTCAGTGTTTTTTTTTATTATACCAAGTGACGGGACGAACAAGTCGAATGCCTGGTGGTAAACTACACGTCTTTGTATAACAGTTACAGTGCCACTCAAAACTTTAAATTGGAAAGATCTGAGGGGCATTGCCATTGCGCACATCACCCTGAGTATAAGTTGACAAGAACAAAACCGAAACACAGCCGACATTACTGCTTGGCGGCAGAAATAGGTAAGGTGGCAGTACTTCTCTGGACCAACTCTCTCACAAGAAACTCTAGTGCTACTACAATACTTGTGCTTAAAATAGTTATTCAAAGAATTGTCATCAATTGGTTCTTTACAAAGTGAATTTATTTAGTTCCGGGCTAAAACAGTTAGGTGCCTATATAATTCTCGATTTAGCCAAAAATCTCTTAATTCCTCCGATTACCATCAACAAATTTTGCACGGAGATTTTTTTCATAGCCTCGAGCTGGCATTAATTATCAGCTCCATCGTGGCAAGCCGATTGGTTTTAAAATGCGAATTGAAGAGGGTTATTGTAATTGCTTTGTAACCGTGTATCAGAAACATATTTTAACT